GAAAGCCTGTGCTGAGCAACCGTTCTCGCCAGGATGCATCGAACGCTGGGAACTCAAGTCATGTCATACTCGTGTTGTTCCACAAGCTGATCACCTAAGCTAACCCTTTTGATCTACAATGAGCGCACGGACCTGAGAAGGATGGCGATAATATACCATCCGCATCGCCCAAAACCTGGGACAATCCCAGTTGCAAAATGTGTTGCGCCGTCTCGAGCTCACGAATTTGGGGCCTGTCGGTATGGAAATTTTGGAATGAGCTCACGGACGCTGTATCTTTGGCAAGGAGTCAAGTCGAACAGTCTAAAAGCAATTGCCTCCATCTTCTGAAGCGATTCCATCGAATCTGTCCATTCAACCTGACTGTGTCTGTCACAATGTGCAATATGTCAAAAGGTGAGTTGTGATTTTTGGCCAAGTCAACTCACTCCCCGTCAATGCAGAAATGTCTGCAAAACATTCCATCGTACGAGCAACGATCGCACGAATTGCCATGCAAAGACAAGCTTTCACGCTCGGCAGCTCGAACCATGAAGCACTTGTTGCTGCGATCGACGCCATTTCAGGCCGCAAGTGTCAGTCAGTTACTCAACCCATTGTGGTCTGCTAGATTTGCATCAAACACGCACTTTTCAAGTTTCACGCAACGATTGCATGGCGTCATTGTGGCAGACGGATGCTTGGGAAGAAAAGAGAAGTGCGTCACAAAAGGTCCGCGGGCAAGTGGACTGAGGAGCTCTGGAGCGCGACCACACACAAATGGCGAACACAATTGCGTTTCGTATGAGCGTGTCTGAGGGCGAGAGACTGCATGGAATTGCTCAAATGATAACAAAGGCACATCTAGAATTCTGTAGAGAACGCTCAGAACGTTTTGGGGCCCGTGCCGGCCCTTCTCAGCCTTGCGTGGACTTCTTCGAGGGTCATAGATCCGGCAACGATCTCACGGGCAGACTTGCCTTCCCACGCGGGCTCGGTCGCAAACGGTCTGCAAAGATTTGACATCAGTACTTCCGACTCTGAGCTCTCGGGCGCCCAATGCATGCTCACAGGTTGTCTTCCACAATCATGAAATTGTCAGGATCAGTCTCATCAACCGTGTGGGCTGTCAGCTCGCGCATTTCGCGAGCAATGATTTTCGTGAACGACTCGAGGTCCAGGTCGCTCCTGACGAGTGGCTTTTGTCAGCTACCCACTCGTGTCTGAAACATAGCAGCATACTCGTCGTAGCCAAGAGGCTGGAACGATCCATCTCAGCAACAAGCTCGACTGTTACAGAATTGCACTCACATTCTCGATTTCGTTCGCCAGCTGGCAGAAACCGAGGAAGCAAAACGTCGTAATTGACAGCGCGGGAATTGTCTAAATGTCCAGCAAGTGAGCAACGTCGATCTGAGTATAAGAAAACAATGCCTCACCAGCCAGCCAAAATTTGCGTGCAATTGTGCGGGCAAGAGCAACAACCAAAGCCAGATCACGTCTGCAGAATCCGATTCAGCTCCCCAGTACCGAAAATATTTCATTTTTCACTCACGACGCAAATGCAACGAATAGGCCAGCGGGATAGGGCTGAGCAGAACACGTTCCAGACCTGTCAGACTGTCCGCCAAGCTTTGAAGAGGATTCAATAACCCATTGATGGTGGCCACGTCGCACGTCTTGCGCCTCTGTAGCGCCGCAACCCAGCCGGAAAGCAGCAAGATCAACTCGAGTGGGACGTTGTCACCTTCCGACTGGTTTTGGAGGGGCATGCGCTTTTTTTTGATCGCGGAGCCTTGATGGGTGAAGTCGTCTCTGAGTTTGCGCGCACGACCGCGAACCAAAGCAAACAGGTCACAGAACAAGGCCCAAAATGGAATGACGTCGTCCCAGGACCTGTAAAAGCTACGTTAAGATCGTACCGCTCAGATTCCGTTACGTTCTCACTTGCATCGGAGGTGGATTGCGACTGGGCATGAGCGGTCGCGGCGCGCAAAGCTTGTTGACCTGCTCTCCGGTCGTCGGTTCTTTGACCGTCTCGATAGAGGACCACGTGCTTGACTTTCCTTTGACGTCGCTCAACACTGTCGCTTCGGAGCCTTGGCGAGACATGAACGGAGCGCGTATCGTCGCCGTGGATCCGGCCGCGGAGAACGAGGCGAGGGCCGAGGCGGAAAGCGTCTCAAGCGCCGTCGCGTCTGTGTTCGGAGTGAAATCGAGGTCTGGACGGGCGATGAACGTCGAGCTGGGCAAGCGGAAGCGGGGCAGGTAGGCTACGAGAGGGTATAAATCTTCGTACCACACGCCGGCTTCGCCACGGCAGTAATGCTGTGTCGCGATACTGAATGCCGTCACAAGATTGATGACTGACTTCTTCTCGACGAGCGCGCGTCGCTGTTCGTCCTCGGATGGCGGCTTGTTTGGGTCGTCTGCCGGTGGCGGCGCCATTGCGTTCGGAACGTGGATCCACGCGAAACGAGCAAATGTCCGAGAAGCGAGAATGATGGAAGGCCAGTAGCGCCTACCTTCGCTGTAAGAGGACCAGGCTGACGATGTGCGGAACGAAACAAGGAAGCCGTTTACGGCGCCAAACACCGTGACTGCACGCACATTTGTTAGCAAACACGCGACAATGTCGGCCTGTAGCGCTCACTCATGGTCGGTGAAATGTGAAGGGGGTATACAAACGAGCTGATAAGGCACACGAATGTGGCGACCCTGCGGGAGGTTTGCGTCAAGCGAAAGCGCAACGCGTGAATTGGTCAAGTCACGTGACCAAACGTCTCGAGCCTACAGACTGAAAAAGATGACTTCGGGCAAGACCGCCCAGAGGACTGTGTACTTGATGTGGGCGAGGCCTCCGTTTTTGTATGGCATGGTTGACACCGCCGCAGTCGGATTCGTCGCTGTGAAGGGTGAGCCCGTTCTCGCGAGTGTGAGCACTGCCTACAAAGCTCCGAGCGACAGTGATTACCACACTGTGATCGCACTGGATCCCGGTGACACGAGCAGCACCCTGCCAGCACGACACGCGCGGAGCCTCGTTGACTGCGGCCGTGAACGAGCTGACACGACCGAGGCAGTCAGCAGGGCACGACCGCGAGCTATGAAGCATGACGGTGCAGCTGATTACCTCTTGAGCGGGCCGAAAGCCGTGAACGTAGTCGCCGTCAGGAGTCGAGACGGAACAAGTTTTGCTGCGCCGCGCGACGCACAACTCGCGCTCGGGCCACATCACTTTGTCCCGCCTTGACCGACACGATGCCGTTCGGTCAGCTCGTGATCGGGCCACCGGGCAGTGGCAAGTCTACATACGCGTATGGTCTGTACCAGGTCAGCCCTGGTCTGAGCTCGGCCGGCCCGCCAGGTTATCGCCGAGCTTGCATATGACGGCGCCCGCACTGACACGCCCGTCTTGCAAGTTCATGACAGCGCTGGAGAGACCAATTGCGATCGTCAACCTTGACCCTGCCGCGCCCAAGCCGCCGTACCCTTCGAGCGTGAGCATCACCGACTTGATCTCGCTCGAGGACGCCATGGACGCACACAAGCTCGGACCAAACGGCGCCATGCTGTACTGTCTCGAGTACCTCGAGGCCAACATGGACTGGCTCGAGGATGAGCTCGAGCGCGTCATGCACGACAAGGGCTGGACGGGCGACAAGCGCGAGCAAGCCTTTGTCGTCTTTGACACGCCAGGCCAGGTCGAGCTGAGCACAGACCACGGCAGCTTGAAAAGAATTGTAGAGAGGTTGCAGAAAAAGGGCCGATGGCGGGTGAGCTTGCTCGATCAGCGCTCGAACAATTCTCACGCGGACGGCTCACCTACGGCCGTTGGACAGCTCGCAGCCGTGCACTTGCTGGACGCACATCATATTCTTGATGCCGGCAAGTACGTCGCACTGCTTCTGCTGTCTTTGAGGACGATGCTGCAAATGGAGTTGCCACACGTCAACGTTCTCAGCAAAATTGACCTGCTGTCAACGGCAGGCGAACTACGTAAGATTTGCTGTCACGCTCACGCCTCAACGTATGCTAAGCCCGCGCTTCTCAGCCTTTAATCTAGATTTCTATACCGAAGTCAGTGACCTCGAGTACCTGGCGCCATTGCTCGAGCGGGATCCGCGCATGAAGCGCTTCTCTGCGCTCAACAAGGTCATTTGCGAGATCATTCAAGAATTTGGACTTGTCAGCTTCGAGACGCTCTGTGTCGAAGTTCGTTTGGCACTCGCTCGTCCCCTTGTCCAGCCAATAACTGACCAACCACCCTTTTCAGGATAAGGATTCGATGTTGAGGCTCGTGCGCGTGGTCGACCAGGCCTTGGGCTACGTGCAACCTGCTGCGGCACAGCTCGGTGACCCGGACCACCAACATGGTCATTCGCACGCACACGGCCTGACGGAGAGCTTCCCTTCATCCATCTCGTCACTTTACCACGCATCGGAAGTACAAGAGAAATGGGTCGACCACGCAGACGCATACAGAGAGTTTGAAAAGAGCCTGTGGCAAAAGGAAGGAGAGTGGGCGGTCGAAAAGGCCAACGAAGAAAGTCAACGACAAGCTGGAGTTGCCCCAGAAGTCATTGTCAAAGAGCGCGAGATGCGTCATCGCGATCATCAGAGTGAGAATGCTTGATAGAGCTTTGTCGTAGAGCTGGAATTAACGTTGTTGTATTCGTACGAGCACCGCAAAGATTGTTGGCCGGATACATCAACACAAGGTGGTACGTGATGCAATCTGATTCTGTTTCCTGACAGCCTTGTAGTGGATTCTACAAGGGTCTCGAATTGATTGAATGCCACTGTCTACACTGGTCATACCCCCTTTCTTTTGTTTTCCGCAGCTTTTTTTCTTCTCCCTGTTTTTTTTTTTCTGGCGCACAGCAGACATGTCCCGGTACTCGTTTGGAGCCCCATAGAGCACTTGAACATCATTAAGGGTATGCGGAGTAATCTGAAGGCACCAAGATTTAAGGTTGAGGTTTGTATACAACCAAAAATTTTCAAGAGACTCATACACTGCCCGATTGATCTAGTCGGTTATGATGCAGACCTAATACGCTCGCTGTTTAGTCTGATGTCGGCGGTTCGATCCCGCCATTGGGCATACGTGTGCCGTGTAGCGGCAACGAAAGCATCTGCTTTCATTTTTCTCGCTTTTTCCTTTTTGGGAGCCCCAGCTCAACGCACACACCCGCCGGAATGACCCGCGCAACTTTTTGCATCCAACACAGTTTTGGCACTGTATTTACGAGCGTCTCCGGCGAAGATTGCAGGCTCCGGCTGTTGCGTACTGCTTTCGCCGACATCCCGCAGCCAAACGCAATGTGACACGCAAATGATTACAACAAGTGAGCGATTTGCTCTGCAACGTCTCTAAATCGGCGGAGGCGGACTCGAGACCGACTTCATCGACTCTGCCGTTGTCATATTCGAGTACAGCGAGCTGAGAACAATGAAATGGAGTACGCAAGCGTACACGACAAACACGTTGCGCATGAGGCGGTTGCCAAGCACGATATTGGACAGATGCAACAAGAGACGCTCGACGGGGTTGAGCATGTGTATCGCGCGACCGCGCTCCTGGAATCAGCCCGAGACATCAGACCCGTTTATCATTTATGAGACATGGTCCGAGCTCACCCTGCCTCTGAACGCCTCGAAAGGATTCATACTCTCTTCGTACTTGTTCTGATACTTTCCGAGCTCTTCGTCTATCCGGACCGTCGAATGGAAACCGACGTTGGCCTTGGTGGCGCCAGTCGTGTCGTCTCGGTAGCTCTGCAAGTACCTGACCTTTTCGTACAGCTTCAGGTTGTCGTTCTGCAGCGACTTGATCTCGTTGCGCAGCTCCGAGATCGTTTCGAATTGCCGTCGCAGTTCCTGCACAAATGCCAGCCGCATGAGTTGACTGCCAATGGACCCGAGGAAACATCACGAACCTCTTCAAGCTCTGCGTTCCTCTGCCTGAATCGGTCTCTCTGACTTGTAATGATAGGCAGAATCGACGTTTCGGCAGAATTGGGCACCGCGGGCGCAGCCCCGTTCGCAACCGGCTCCTACGCGCACGTTTTTAGCATGATGGCCTTCCCTGAATACACACAGCGCTCACTTTGCGGCCGAGGTTGAGGCCCGCCAGCGGATCTTCCTTCGTGGCAACGCCAATGGACGAGGGCCCGGATTTGTTGATCCGCAGCAAATCATTTTCAAGTCGTTCATTGAGCGCCCTCTGCTCGTCGAAACGCGACTGAAGTGCCTCGATGTCGGCCGTCAATGTCCGATGCTCTGCCGATAATTCCTCGTACGCCACCTTCGAGCGATCGTCAGTCGGAATCGACGAGCCCTAAGCAATGGGACTCACCCGCATGCTCGTGACCTGGTCTTGTAATTTGCGGTTTTTGGACATGAGCAGACCCTCAAGCGACTCGGCCCGTTGCAAATTCGCCTTGTCGGCATTTGGGTCCGGCAAATGCACGTCCGCATCATCTTCGGCAGGCCCGTCGAGGTCCATGCCTGCAAACTCGACGTACTAAAGTTGCAAGCCAGCTCAATTCGCTGTTTCGTTCCAGATCTGTCAAAAGTGCTCACCTTCATGATCTCCAATTCGCGCTTCAGCTCGTCGTAATCCGCATACTGCTTCAATCTCTGCTTCAATTCTTCTATCTCGTGCACTCGAGCGGTCTTTTCACTGGTCAACTCGTCAATTTTGCGCAGAGACTCATGTCGTTCGGCTTCGGCAACGGCCTTTTGCTCGTCGAGCGCGTTGATGAGGCGCGTCGCTTCATTTTGTAGGTCAGACACCTGAGTCTCGAGAACAAGAACCCTGTCGAGAGGGGTTCAGCGACTTGGACGTCTGAAATCGTAGAGTGAAATCTCACCGTCCCGCGCTCTCGCTACCGCTCCTCACAGCTTCAATCTCGGCACGAAGCTTCTCGTTCCTCCTTTCGACCTCGGCGACCCGACTGTTGGCCCGCTCCAAGTCTTGCGCGACCAAATCAGCCTCCGCGAGTCGTGCGACCGTCTCCTGGTCTGCAATGCGCGTCAACATCAATTTGTACGAGCTCTTTGGGCACGCTTACCTTGACGCAAGCTTTGGTCTAGTAGCCTCGCTTCGCTCGTGTCTGCCGTTGTCCTTAATTCGCGTAATTGTGAGCGTGCAACTGTGACTTGTCGCTGCAGGTCCTTTTCCCTGTCGCGACCGGACGTCAGGACTACTGTCCGCTCAGTTCCATTGCAACTTACCTCTCTTCAAAGTTCCTTAGCCTCTCATCATAGGTGGCATGCATTTCGGCCTCTTTGGCGGCGACATTGTCTCGGATGAGGTCTGCCATCTGAACGAGATTGGGTCAATCGCCTTCCCAGATTTTGACCCTTTTTAAGGGGGCCCACCTTGGCCTCCAGCTTGTCCACTTTCTCGGACAGTTTTCGCTTCTCCTTTTCGAGCGTTTGCGTCTCTGCGAGCTGCCGTTGAAGCGAAGCGACCTGTTCTTTCTGCCTCGCGACCTCGAGTTCGAGCACACGCGCTTCTGACGCGCGAGCCGTTTGATCCTGTTGTGTACGAGTGTGAAATCGAGACAATTGAGTGTGTCGCCCGATTCTGTAACCTGCCCGCCACGTACGACGGCCGCATCAAGCAACGGAAACGGGTCTGGCGCCTCTGCCAAGAGCTTGTACAAATTGAGAAACGAGCTCTCGGCCACCTTTGACCTCCTTGTCAGATTATCGATCTCTCCTTGATATGCTGTGGATGTGCACGCCAGTGTCAATGCGCGAGTTCACAATCCGTGCACTCGCCTGACCTTTCAACAATGTCTTGAATGCCGATGCCTTCTCCTCGTCGGGCACCTTTTTGAACTCTGTATACCTTCGACTTCAGCCGTGTATCTCGCTAAGTGCTGGCGGCCGTAAGGCGTGCGCGCTCACCTCGCGTCTGTTCGGCGAGTTTCTTGCGGCCGACCATGTTTTCCTTCTGATTCTCGACAATCTCCAAGCCCTGCTTGTCCAGAGTCTTTTGTAGTTCGTGCAAATTGATGTCTGGTGTCGACGTGACGCGGCAATATCAGCGCCAGTCCAGCCTCGGCGGTTGATCGACGCTGTTGTGCACGTGCGGGCTCGACAGCTCACCTCCCCATACTTTCAGCGCAGCCGAGAAGTTGGTCGTGGCTTCAGCCATGGTCGACGCACGCCAACGACAGACCGGCGAAAGAGTGAGCACGACAGCCGGGCGATCTTCAAGATGCTTTCATGGTGATTCATCGACTGCTCGGAGTAAACCATAACATCATATATCAGATTCTGCGTCAGACTCCTTTCATTCTATTTCGTACTGACTTCGCCAAATCTTCCAATCGCAACTCCTAAGTGAAACGTTCGCGGAGAACCGGCATCCGTGGCTGGCTTGATCCTTCTGCATGCAAAAGCGATCAATGCGACGACTGGTGGTTTTGGCTGATGGGACATGGGAGGTGAGATGCAACAGGCAAATATCGTCACGTGCAAAATCTGACCTCGGCACACGCAGGACGCCGACTTTCAATCGAATCCAGACTTGCTGACCAATGTTGGACGGCTAGCACGCGCAATACACACTACAGACACAAGATCTGGTCAACCGGTCCCTCAAATCATTCGTTACGCGGAAGGTTTGGGAACCGGATCGACGGCTTTAGTTGGAGCTTACCAAGGCGCGAGAGGCATCGGATTGTTGGCCAAAACAAGACACCTTTACGACTGGCTGTGCCTCAACTACGAAAAAGATGCAGAAATCACACTCGTTGGTTTCTCGAGAGGCGCATATTGCGTCAGGCTGCTCGCGAGCCTGATTGGCCAAATCGGACTGCTGATGCCGAGCAAGATGCATTTGTTCCCTGAAATATTTGACGCGCTATGTGCCAAGTGGGAGCTCGAAGAGTCAGAAGAGCGTCTGAGGCTTCTGCTTGAAGCGAACGAAGAGGACAGGCTTGCGCAACTGCGACAGTGTCCAAATGGCTTCCTCATCAAAGCGTTGCTCGTGTTCGACACCGTGAGCTTCATGGTCGAAAACAGCAACACGAGCTTACTCCTTCATCCAGGTACCTGTTTCGCCCTACAACGAACGAAGCGGTCTCTCTTCAGGCGACGCGCCAATTCTTTGGAACGCTTTCGGCATGCAAGCAGATAGGCTCGAGCCCCATATCGAAACGGCCTTGCAAGCTCTGGCGATCAACGAGTCCAGACCGGCGTACAAACCCTTGCTGTTTCAAGTCGATCCCCGCAATCCCAAACAAGGGCAGACCTTGCTGCAGACTTGGTTCGTAGGAGCCCACACTGATATCGGTGGAGGTTACCAGGACCATGATCTCGCCGACATTTCTCTCATCTGGTCGGTCGAGCGCCTAATGCGATTCGCCGGCCTTTCTTTCGATCTCGACTACCTCGATGAGATTACAAGCCATCCCACGAGCATGTGGGGTCAGATGCAGCCACATAAGTGAGTAGTGATACCCTTACATGATGAATGCTTTATTCTTGCCAGTTGCGGAGTGTACACGTGTTGACTTTCGAGGGCAGGGGAGTTTCTTGGGCCATTGCACCACAGCTGCGGATGTTTCCTGGTCGACATAATCCCGCGACGAACGAGCGCTTCCATGCCAGTGTGTTGCGCCAGTGTCCTGCTCATCTGCCTACACACATTCTGCCGTTTCTGACACGGCAGAGCTTGTTCGAAGAGCTCGGACCTCTTGAGCGACAATTGCAGCAACGTCACGACAAGGCCGTTAAGCGATTACCAACCTCAATCGCGCCGAGATTGAAACCGTCTGCTGTACCGACTGCTCTACAACCAAAGCAACGCACGCAGAGATTAAGTCGGCTTCGTGTCTTCATTGACCATGAGAAGCAAAAGCTGGAAGGAGCAGGCAACGCGAATAGCCAGGCCGCCGCCAGGTGATCGGTTTCTTCGTCTCAAATGCTTGTCTTGCACAAAGAGGCAAATTTGATTAGTGGCTTGAGCGCGTTGAGGACGGGGGTGGGCGGGTTTTTCTGTGCGTGCCAACACCTTGATGCTATAGGCTTTGTCCACTGATAATTTTGCACCAAACTTCAGCAGCATGTTTTTCACATGTACAG